CCCGGGAATCATTTGCCTTCTCTTTTCTTTCTACTTTCTTTATTCCTTGCCGTATATTTTTCCTGTCGAATTCCTCCTCCTCCAGGGTAGAGTAGCCATGCAATTACAATCTGGTAAACTTATCTAGTCTTTATTTAGCTCTTTCATGTTTATCTCTCCCTTTTCTGTTGCAAGGGCTTAATCCTGCGTCACCATCTTGGCGCAACCGGAAATGCTGTCTATACCACCGATCTTACCAGACAAGGCACAATGTAGGCAGGGCATGCTCCAGTCTTAAATAACAAAACCTGGAGGTTAGTAAAGTCTGTGCTTATGTGATAGAGCACGCTAACCTTCTGATCAATAAGTCTTTAGACCTCCCAGTGAAGACGTGAACGATTGTCGGCATATAATGAAACAAACGTTAATGAAAGCTCATGAGTGGAGGCCCATACACAGAGTTATTCAAGGTGTGCGCGGTGGCATTTTTTTTCGGTACAAGCACATGGTACAATGAACAATACTGCCAGCTTTGTAACACTTAATTCATCTGGTTTGGCCTTGTGGTCGTAACACACAGAACCACCTCCAATAAGCCTAGTATAATAAGAACACTACCACCTGCCAAAGAATTGGCCACCATGCGGCCAGTTTCAGCCTCATCTTAATGTGAACAGTCTATACCTGGGTACCTACCATACCTGCCATACCTACCATACCTGCCATATTGTTTCTATTATCTTCAAGCACTGAGGTTGCTTCAGTTTCCTGGAAATTATAATAATGCAATACCAATAAACGTGTGCATTTGAGCCTAGGACTTGTTTAGGTTTTTTAGTTTCGCAGAAATGAACTGTAGCATCAAGAACGTTGTAGTGTGGAATTCTCAGCTATAGTGGTTACTTATTCTGCAAGTAACATTTCCAGCATCTAATGTTTTAAATGGCATAGTCGTTTTGTGAAGTCATTTCAAGAAAGACATACGAAACAAATGGCGAAGATTTCGCTAAGCCACGCACGGCTTGAAACAGCGAATGTGGACCACTTTGAAGACTGCTCTGGTTGCGTCTAGGTTGGTGTTACGCTTTAGCTAGGTGATGCTACGTTGTTTTTAGGTTGTGTCTCAGTGCACGGAGGTTCCAGTTGAGCAGTCACACGTAGACACGACACGCAAGTCAAGACTAATGAAACAGAATGGGCCTCTGAAAGCGTGCGTTCACCCTTTCCGTTGATCTACGGCCACGTCGTCGTTCGCGTAGGGCTTTGATCACGTCCGGGTCTTTTCACAGCCGCCGTTGCCATTCCCGTTCCCTAGTAGTCCCTCATTGTGCGTACCGCTGATGCACTCCGTATAGGTGCTTCAGCGGAACTGGAACATGCGGCATTGTGCGTACCGCTGATGCACTCCGTATAGGTGCTTCAGCGGAACTGGAACATGCGGCCATGGTGCATATTCCAGTTCCGTATAGATACTTCAGGTGTTCCAGTTCCGCATTGAAGCACTCCGTATAGATGCTTCAGCAGAACTGGAACATGCGGCCATGGTACATGTTCCAGTTCCGTATAGATGCTTCAGATGTTCCAGTTCCACATTGAAGCACTCCGTATAGATGCTTCAGCGCAACTGGTGCGTGTGTTTATCCTGGGATTAATCCCGATGGTTTAGTAAAGCTTTTCTTTAGATTACTGGTTACGCCTATCTATAAATGTTAATTGGTGCTTCCCGCCTGTCTGTTGCCGTCTTTATATACCGTCTTCATTTTTATTGGAAAAGAGTTGAGTAGTAAGATTTGTCCAATATAGGGGAAACATATGTGTTCATGATGACGATAATTCTTTTGTACATCACTAAAGTTTTTACGGCCGGGTTTCGAGTACTCAGTATACTGACGGAATTAAACACATCAGTTGTTTTCTTTATGTAAGGACTGCCATGACCAATGGCTTTGAATAAACACGTCATGCCGCTGCAAAAGAGGCCACTAGAGATAAGGTTGGCTTTTATACGATAGAGCTCGAGTAAATGCTTAACCATTATATCACGTGAACTGTAGATGCTAGAAGCGAAAATACGGGTATTACTTGGCCACGAATCTCTGCGTTTCAATCCGCAAGTACTCTAACGTGCAATCACTGCTGCTGAGGAGGTGCTAAATTTTTATTCAGTTTTCTGTCTTTCACCAACTTGAACTGCTATTTCCTTTTTTGATCTTTTCCCCGCTATCTTCTTGCAACGTCATCTTACAACGCTTTTTGTAGAAAAAACTTGTTCACTACGCCAAACGCTTTGTTTATTTATTAAGATACGCTAATAAGCATTTATTAAATATTCAATAACAAATGCTGCATGTAAGTTCTAAATATTATCAACATTAGAAAACGGAATCTGTTGGTCAAGGAGAAAAAAAAGCTTGGATTTCTTCCCATTAGGAAAGCGAAATAATATAGTGAGAGAGATATAGCAAATGAGTTAGACAGCGACTATAGTTCATAAACTATCTCTGTAATTATTCATATTTTTCACATTTCGCTAGTTTAAAACGCAGTAATTAAGCTTACAATTTTGATGTCTTGTAATATTAGATGACTCCCAACAATGCACAATAACATAATAAAGCCCTTAAAGCCAGGGGTTTTATTATAGGTAAAGTAGGTACAGTTAAAAGGAAGCACAAGTATATAAATGACAGTGGCATTTGACACATGCACCTTACAATTTGCATCTCAGTCTTATTCTCAGAGCGAGGACGTCTAACATTGTGCTGACGAACCTCCTTTTCGGTTTTTTATTCACACGCATTTCTACAACAGGCGCAGACCATAGGATGAATAAAGAGCTCCCTATATTAGCATGCTTGTCAAATATAAAATCCAGTAGCCTAAAAAGAACACCTTTTAATATGCATCAAGTGCACTATCGCAATCTTTCTCTCCGTGCTAAGAAAGATAACTGCAGTCTGCACAGTGAAGTTGAATTCTTGTATGTACGTTTTGTTATTTTTGTCCTAATATTTCAAAGTATGCAAATAAACAGTCATCGAATTGTACCATTAGAAATAAGGCAGTCCCTGAGCTCATTACAAGCTCTCATATGCATCTACCCAGGGCTAGTTTTATTTAGGCCATGTCTTTGGCAATGACATGGAAACGCAGATTAATGTATCGGGTAACTCAACAACACTACAAAAGTGAGTCGACATGTTTAGTGTTGATAACCTAGAAGTCTTCATAAGAACAGCCTTTGAAACATCAATATACAGGGCAAGGTACAAACAGTGATTTTGTGGTTGCGTACACAACAAGAGGAGGCTGCTAAGCCTCTTGTAAATGCACGTTCATGACCGTCACTCTCTGTTCACCATGCACTACCTCTTGCTGAAAGGAACTAGCGCATCCTTCTTTATACGTCATGGCAGCTAACCACACCTCTTACATCTGTGTCAGCAACTGTGACGTAATAAGTTGCGATTCTAAAAAAATAAATCAAAACAAGCAAACTGAGTCTATGAAAGGGAAAGTATGTAGAGTGACCGCCCCGGAAAGGCATTGTTCCCGGATTTGATGCCAGGACCAGGACAAATTTTTCAGCAAATAAGAGGCTGAGAAATCCATATAGGTTTCCTTGTAGGTTCCTTTCATTATTGAATGGTTGTCTACTTTCTGTTTCTTAACCCTTCCGCGCCCTTGCGGGTCTCCGCAGAACTCATTTGCACAACTGAGTCTATACATAAAAAAGTGGTGCCAAACCTGGGCCGAGAACCAATGCTTTATGCCTGTCACAATTTCCTAATGAATTTACTTGTCAACCTATTGCTAATTAGTTAGTTAACCTATAATGACTACTACCTTCCACTTGTACTAATTTGTATATCATTTTTACAATCATGAGTTCCCTTCGTAATAAACTAGACGAGGGCCTTCAACGGTATATGCACTCTTCGTATTGAATCGCCAAATTGCTCTCAACGTCATGCGTCATTTTGAATGCTCAGCGTTCTGAATGACTGACGAGGTGTCATCCTTCCCAACCGCAGGAGCAGCTCGGGATACTCTTCTTGCTCATCGGGCCCACATTCGCCGCCCTGGGTCGGGTGCAGGCACCACTGGCCGAAATTGGCACCAGCAAGCAGTTCCGCAACGACGACGTAAGCCGTTTTATCTTCTTCTCTTCTTCTTCTTCTTCCCGCTGCTTCGTTGCTCGCGTACACACCAAGTCACTTTGTTCTTTTCACCGGCATTCAACCGCAGTAGTCAACTTACAGCGAACGCGCATCTCGCATTTCCGCTACACTCGCTGGTCACGACTCTCTCTCTCTCTCTCTCTCTCTCTCTCTCTCTCTCTCTCTCTCTCTCTCTCTCTCTCTCTCTCTCTGTGGCTTGCTTATTAGGGGGAATGCCTCGTCTTACCTCAGACAAAAAGTTTAGACGCGTCGACTAGAAGACGAAACCACTTGACTCGAAAAAAGTGCCACTTTTGTAGGTCGTGAGCAAGATCCACGCGTATAGGAAAAAAACACACCGCTCGAAGAAAATAAATATAAACGAGCAACCGCGAACGAGCGCAACCCATTGAATAGACAGGCTCGCCAGCCCTGATAAAAACGCTTATGCGTGCGTACACTGGTTGGCAGCGTAAAGCGGAAGAGGTCTGGAATGTGAGAGCAATATTCTGGGCGCCTGTAGTACACGCATCTCTTTTGGCCTGTCCCCGCGGCCGGCTGGAGGCGCCCGAGTCCTCGTTCGAGTGTTGTGTAACGTTACCGGCAGCAACGCTCCGTGTGAAACACGATAAAGAAAATACATTTAGTTTGCGTATGGTTACGAGGTGGGAGCGTTAAGTACGAGGTAAAGTTGCGTGTCTCGGAGTTGTCAGCGTTCCCAGCCGACTGAAAGCGAATCCGCTAAGCGGTGAAGCGTGTCTTGGAGAGCGAATTCTCTAGTTTAGACAGGAAGTGTATATAAGAAACGTTACTCTAAAAAAGAGGAGACGGAATATGTAAGTGGTTGTGAAGGGAAAAAAAATGGAGGCAAGCTAGTTTGACAACTATTGCGCAACGCTAAACGCTTGGGCTCCTACGTGTACGTTACACTTCCATCATTTCGAAACGTACCGTAACAGTCGGAAGCAACTGGAGATTGCGATACACTTTTTCACACGAGCCATACACCCTTTAGCACACGCAAACTTTGCAATTTGAGATGCACCGGAAGGGAAAAGAACTCGGCACGTGTTATACGACATAGGACTATTCCACCTTCCAAGGAGATGAATTGAAACTGCCAGTCCTACCAGATACGACGACAGTTTTAAAGGAGCCAATGCCGAACGCGATCCATCCGCTATAGTCGATGTCGTAAGATGAGTATTGTGTTTAGACGTTGCTCCCAACCGTTTGCAAGTACTTGCACGAAGTGTACCAGGACTTTAAACTTGTTTCAACTAACAGTTAATGTACGACGAACGTTGATGCAACACTACATTTCATGGCTTCAGCACAAGAGGAATATACCACATTTTTTCCCTCCCAGTGGATCAAAACAGGCCGTTGAAACATTCCTAGAAACGTCGACACTGAAAACATCAATAAAAGTTTTACAAAGAGACATGACACGGTGACAGTGTAATGTATAGTGTGTAACTGTTGAATAAAATGACAGTTTATTGCATATATTTTTTTACTCAGTGAAGTACCACTGCTTCTGTTACGTGTCCTTAGGAATACCCAACTATGTCGTGTGTTCACTTCATATTCAAGATTTGGTAACAGCTTGGCAACCGTGCTTGGCATGCATTTGAGAAGAATTATTCGGGGCGAGAAATACAGTAACATCTTCCAAAAATATCGTGGAATTTCTTTGTTGGACCAATATTACTCACAAAACTTGACATTAGCATGCTAAACATTAGCGTTAAGGAAAAGAAATATTTTTTGACATCTTTAACTATACGTTATAGCACCATTGGAAATGTTGATTATATCACAGTGGCATACAGAAAACGCTACTCACAGCAAAGAAAGGTGGTTAACTTGTGGGTTTCCTTTCAGAAACTTAAACTAACTCGTGAAGTGCAACGCTTTCAGCAATTCTATTTGTATATGAAGGCATATTGCTTATTTTAAACTATCTAGAAGGTATTTAGCGTATTGACCTTCATACTTTATGGACATTCGCAATGTTCCTCATAATGGCGACAAAATGAAAGGCAGAAATAGATCATGAATCATAAGCTCTGACACCCATTCGAAACGTATAATATCAGTGCAGAATGCCACGAAAAGTGCGTTTGTGTGGTATCAATATTGTTTTTTTATGATTACATCGTTTAGCTCATCATATCACAGACAACAGTGTTTTGGAGATCGTGTACGTCAGCACCCGTGTGATGGGTGTTTGAGTGAACTTCAGATTTGTTATTGAAGTGGAGTCCGTGCTTAAGTTTGTTTTATATTGAGCGCTTTAGTCACTGTTTTGCTCATACTGGAAGACTTTGGGGTGTGTGACTGCAATAACGTTCAGTCAATCAGCTTTAATCTGCCTTACGTAACATTGGTAGCTGCGCCACAGCATTGACATATGTTATATTAGCATACCTCACAGCATTCCGAATCACCCAGGGATTGGGAAACTACAACTTCGGCTACGACGAAGACCACACATCGGGCGGCTCGTTCCGGCGTGAAACGGGCAATGCGCTGGGCGCCAAGGAGGGCTCGTACGGCCTGCGGGATGCTGACGGTCGCGTACGCGTCGTCAGCTACGTAGCCGACGAGCTGGGCTTTCGAGCGTCTATATCCTCCAACGAGCCCGGAATTATGCCATCGACGCCTGCTGGCGTAACCATAGGTCTTCCCCTTCAAAGGCCAGTCACGTCAGCGGTGCCAGGTAAGTGAAGAAAGATGCATGTATGATGCTCAGAGTTCGGCAGTATATAGTCCGGACCAACGAGTTAGTAGCTGCACAAAACCACAATGGTATACTCATCCATTCTCCTTGGTTATACTATATCACCGCGTCATTGTTGAAGGCCATATAAATTAATGATCCATTTTATTTTACCATTGTATTCCAATACTGCCGCTGTTTCACATGGTTATTGCGGTCCGCTCATTACCCAGCAAGTGTTTACCACTGGAAAGGCATGTCTCTTGTCCCCAACATGAGCGTAAGTATTACGTCCCCTTCGTCATATTATTACTTCGGAAAGGAGTGGCAAAACGGGAAACGTTTCCCAAAACTCGCTTCAGTAAGTGGTCCATCAAATGTATGTGATGAGTTTTTTCAGTGGCCTTTTCTTGCAATTCTTTGATGCCAACTCTTGTGTGATACCTCCTGCAAGATTCTTCAAGGTAATCAGTTGATGGAACAATGTGATTATGCTGGCTTTCTTAGTACGGAGAAATTCACATACGTATTCGTTCACGTCTATTCGCAGTGGCTGCACCGGCTCCAGCAGGTTTCGCTCCACCAGCTCCCGTCGCTTTTAATTCAGCCCCCACTCGTCGCCCGGCGTACACTCCACAGGAGCCAGAGGGTACTTTCTTCCTCGGTGCGCCGTCCCCCCTCGGAATCAAGTCGGCGCCCGTGGGACCACCGTCGTACGGTGTCCAGCCACCATTGGATATCAAAGCAGCGCCTGTAGGACCACCATCATATAGTGGTCTTCCAGCACCACCCTTCAGGGCGTCACCGGTAGCACCCACGGCCAACCCATCACCGGCACCATGGTCTGACATGTACGGTGATCTGCCGCAATCGCCCGTAGCTCCCGGGGCTTACAACCCTCCGGCCCCAGCTACCTACACGTCACCGTCGCTTGCCTTCGCTGGTTATAGCCCATCTATGCCAGCACTGCCACCTTATACTAATACGGTGAACACATTCTCTGGAGCATCAGAGGTGACATTAGCTGATCGTCCATCTCTGCCTGGACCATCACCTTTTGGCCAACCGGCACCACCCTTAACCGGAGCGATAATGGTGATGCCTGTTAGCCATCACTATGTCTACAGACAGGACAACTTTGTGACCCTCCCAGCTGAAGGGATGCCGTTCTCCACGGATCAGGCACCACAACCACAACCTGCACCGTTCTTCTCACAGAATGGAGGACCTGCGGCCCACGTGACAACTTCACACGCGTACAGCCACAAGATCGCGCACTCGTTAGACGGGGGTCACCACCGCAGTTACAGGGCTTACAAGAAAAAATAAATTATTTGGTTATACTGCTAATAGCGCCACCTCCATTTCAGGGTACAAAACATCAACTTCCGTCAAGCTTTCCAGATATCACAGGATGTCGATGTCCTACAGGAATTTTAAGGTCCCTTCGCGATAATAAAAACTGGGCCACAAGCGTCGTCATTCTCATTGTACGAAACTTTCATCCTCGTTATTGAGACGTTCCTGGAGTTGTTCCAATAAACATGTGGTATACTTGTACTACATTTATTGTCATGTAGAACATCCATGAATTGAATACTCAGACAAATGAACTCAGAGGAGCTAACTAGAGAATATAATAGTTTAATTACGGATCCAAGCTTCGTATTTTATTGCTGTAGTATTGATAGAGGCATTAGTGTTGAAACGTTTTCTTACGATAAAGCGTTGTTTCTTGGAAAAGCGGTTTGAATAAATAAATTTAAGAACGATGCACACAAAAAGGAGTCATCCAGGGCATGAAATACAATATCTCCCTGAAGAAAGCGCTTCTTATACCTGAGAGAATATACGTGTATTAACGACGAAATTGAGAGTCATGCAATTTTGGCGATGCTTTCTTTCTTACTTACGCTTTTAAAGATTACCCCTTATTTTGGTCCGTCAGCTTCACCCCGTTTCATTATGGGTGTGTTTGTATTTCAGATGACTATTATTATTATCATAACCTTCAGCCCTTCCCAATTGCGGCTTTAACTAGACATATCAACGTGCACTTCTTGTTCACCTTCTCTTTTGGCTCATACCCACCGTGGGGGATTGGCCAAGAAATGAATGGTCTTCAAAAATAATATAAAATTTCAAATAAATGAAAGCTGTACGATACAAAACGTTACAAATCTATGAACAAAATTTTGATGCTCACTTAAATGTACAAAGTATATTGCGCTGCAAAATTCACCGTCATGGTTAATTACTTCATTTTTTAAGCTTTCAGGTCTCTTTAGTTACATTACTTGAAAAGTAAGGAGTAAGTACTCGTTGGATCTAAAAAGGGGCATGAATTTGGTCATGAGGCTTTTATTACAATTTTTAAGCCTTGGTAAAGTCAAGCAAATTGGCAGAAATTACAAGGAATAGCCCCAAAGAGGGAAAATAACATCAACACACCTAAATTGATTAATAAATAAATCTATATATATTGACAATAGTGGAAGCTTTGCGGAATCAATATTAGTATGCATGGGTTAGGATAGAGCCGTGTCCGCAGGCAACGCCAAGCTGCCTGCGATTTCTTAATGAGGTTTGACCTCGAGGACGGAAGTTTCTGTCTTTCAAGTCTCTCTCTCTAGATATGAGAAAAGCACACCCATACACATAGCCGATGGTGGTGCGATATGCCGGCTTTGGCCAGGGCATAGGCAATTTTTTTTTTCTGGGGAGTGGCGGGCCTGCTTGATTTCAGGGCATCTCCTTGAAGTTGTCCTTTTTGGCTCTGTATGCCATGTCGAAAATTCGGCATATCCCACGCACCTGGGAATCGACGTCATGCGAATCATGTGGAGGGAAGGTGACCGCGTTGCAATTTTTCTCATTGAGCAACGCATCATGAAATTAAGCTAAATGTAAGTATGAATGTTGCACGCACAGACGTAACTTGAAGAGTTGCAGATGCTTACATAATCAGTTGTTTGCATTTGCGCAACGATGCCAACTGGAACATGCGTATTAGAAACACCAGACGCTGATATGAATCACTGATGCCAGCGAGGATGCTGGCCCTGGACACTGCTACATAAATCAACTTCAGCGCATACGGCAACTAACCACAACTGACGTTAACCCGACGTGACGGCTGTATCAAAGAAGTAGATATGTAATGTTTATAAAATTGAGTAGGCTGCAGCTGCAACGTGCGCTATTGACGTTTCACGAAGATTGGCGACTATTTAAAAATTAGTTCAGAGACGTGGCGTAGCTCTGTGGTAAAACGCTTTATTGCCACGCAGAATGCTTGGGTTCGATTCCAGCTGGGAACCTGACATTTATTCTTTGCATTCGTCGGATCGACGCTACCGATGTCGGGTATTTCTTGACGCTCGCGCGTTGAAATTGCTCGTGTGTGTTCTCGTCGTTCCTGAGTAGATACTAAGGGTCAATTACTTGTGGCACATACCCGCATACAAGCAGCGCATACCCGCCCCTGGGTATGCGCCGCTGTCTGGCGGGAAGTGTTTGACGACGTACGCGACAGCCCCGCCGTGGTGGTCTAGTGGCTAAGGTACTCAGCTGTTGACCCACAGGGCGCGGCCTCGACTCCCGGCTGCGGCGGCTGCATTTCCGATGGAGGCGGAAATGTTGTAGGCCCGTGTGCTCAGATTTGGGTGCACGTTAAAGAACCCCAGGTGGTCTAAATTTCCGGAGCCCTCCACTACGGCGTCTCTCATAATCATATAGTGGTTTTGGGACGTTAAACCCCACATATCAATCAAATCGACGTACGTGACGGGATCGCGATATTATTCATGTCTTGACCAGCGCATCATATTCGATAAACCATCTTACCCTCCCATGCTAATTTTTGTTCACGTCACATTAAGGGGGTTACCACGAGAGCACCCAAACGTAAGCGGCTAGATAGATAGATAGATAGATAGATAGATAGATAGATAGATAGATAGATAGATAGATAGATAGATAGATAGATAGATAGATAGATAGATAGATAGATAGATAGATAGATAGATAGATAGATAGATAGACAGACGTCCTCGAGGTCGTTGAAGTTCACCAAGAAATGCTTCGCATTTAAAAAGCGCTATATGGATGCGATGCAGTGGTTAGAATCTTCTCGACGCATGTAATATTGGGATGCAGAAAAGTAGAATCGCACCAGATGTCAAAACATATGTATTGCGCAATGAGTGGGTGTTTTAAAGACCCACCCATTACAATGTGCTCAGGCATATCTAATCATCATTGGCTTCAAAAACATCAATAAACTGAGCAGCTGCCAATGCTCGTGTGTTGCCTTGCAGACGCGTAAGGAGCCCTTCCCCGATTTCACAAAATGGACCATCACAGTGTATCGGGCACTTAACTGTACCAGCAGTGCTAGCTGTACTATCTTAACTGTACTAGCAGTAGGCATTCTAGAATACTTTGAAAGTATAAATTTCATACGTACAGTCATTAGTTTTCATGTGCCATGGTCAAGGCATGCACCGAGAACCGAAGCCTTGCTAGCGGTTGAAAAGGCTATGCGCGTGAGGCTTCTTAAAGACAAAGCTCGAGCGTCCTCTTTTTTTTTTTTTTTGCTCAAACAAGTGTGGTTGCTCCGAACACACGGCAAATATTCCTCGTTCAAACACCACTGTAATCGACTGAACTGAAAGCACTGTCGACAATATAAGAGCAACTACAGCGTTGATGTCAACTCCACGAAGCGTGAAGCCTTTTCTTTGCAATGCGCAAGATTGTGGGTATACTTGTGATTTTCATCGTGCATGATCTTCATCGCGTCGTTTAATTTACGATACTTCGTACTCTCTGCGGGAACTTTTGCGTGATGTCATCTGGCACAACTCGTTATTATTTTGATAATTCTATTCCGGACGAAGTGTTCAACAGTTGCAACCCTTTTCTTATGCAACAACAACTTACGCCGGGAAGCATTGCAAAAATTGAAATAATTACGTTTATCTCAAGCACACTTGCGCCAACTTTATCAGGTGTATATAAAAACAAGTGGAGTAAAACGTAGGTAATTAAATAAGTTATTGCGTGTAGGCTGACTAGTCAATGCGACCTACAAGCTAACACGCAGTGACGACTTGATTATCTAGAACAATCCATTGAAAACATTCAACGGAAAACCGACGGTCGCGCTCTTCCGGCCATCATGGTCTGGAATTGGTACGTGGCCGTGAGTGTGCGCATCTTCATCGTCTTTCGCGAGGTCGTTCCAGTTTCCCGGACCAACGAAAACGTGGCTGCTTTGTTCTGTCGAGCCTTCGCTGTCCCCCCTAAGTGTACGTGGCTCCGAGGGAAACTTTGTTCCAAGCGTAGAAAGCACAGTCTGTCGGAATGTTGAAGAGGCTTCGGTATCAGCGTTATTACCCGACTGCGAACCATTTTGCGTTTCTTCAACACTTCCCGTCGTTGGTGACGTTGAGGTTCTGATGCGACGCACGTGAATGCTGTGCGTTGAGAGGTCGGCGCGCTCACGTGTGCTCGAAGGCGTGTGACTTATGTCTAAACGAAACGCTTCGTGATTCTGCTTCGTTGTCCTTGAGACGTCCGCACCATCTTCCTCCGTGAATGGCTCTTCGCTATCCAGGGACTTGCGCTCGGTACTGCCACGTGCGCCATCTGCGGACGCGTAGGCTTCTTCCATGGAGTGCAAGTGATGCCGAAGAGTCGTTTCTTTCAAATTTGTCTTTTCTTGAGGCACCGAACCGACGTGACTAGGATGTGTGTCATTCTTCGAAGAGGCATCCTTCGCAGCTTCTATGCTACTCTTGTAGTTGGTATTGTCGGCATTTTCACCTTCGTGGTCGATGTTGGTCACCGATGATATCGCTCTCCTACTTCGCGCGTCATTTGCAGAATCCATCGGTGTCGAATCGGAGCTTGTACCTGGTATCGAACCGACATGAATCAGGTGTGTTCTACTACTCAGCGAGGCAGGAGTTGCAGCTTCTGTGATTCTGTGAGGCTTACTGGCTTCTGTGCTGGAACTAATGACGCCTGTAGCAGCTGCCCTGGATGTTCGATGTCGCGTGATTGCTTCAACTGAGGTGTTAACAGGCATTCGCGTAAAACGCTCGCTAGTTGTATGCTGGGACGCGGACAATATTTTATCAGGGACTGCAGTAACCACGTGTATTTTGTGCGTTTGTTCAGTGCCTGTCGAAATGCTGACAGGGTGTTGACCATGCATGTGACGTTTATGGCGGTGCGTCACTACCACGTCCTTGCTGTCAGAAGAAGAGCTTGACGGAAAGCTACCAAGTTTCGCTTCCGGCGTCGACTGAAACAATACTAGA